CATGTTTGATCTTTTTCAGATGAGTGAAGAGTCATAAACTCATCATGAACCGTATTACTCACCGCTCAAAGCCAGTGAAATTATAAACGTTGTTTGAGCACCCCACAACATTTGCATTTACAAAACGTGGAAGATTTGAACGCAAATGAATTCCAATTTGAAATCCGTCAGGAGGAGGGGAAGAACAAAGCTTATCCTCCCTCCATAGCAAATCGAATTCGAGACAACATACAACCTCTTTTTAAAAACTTAGTAAAAACGAGTGCAATAATAAAAGCATCTTTTTTATGCAACTTCACATTTTATGTATGTACATACCTCTATTAATTTTTTATACAAAGAATAAATTGTATTCAGTGCATTTCACAGTCTTATTTATAGATGATGAAAACAAAAACGCCTGTGCTTCCTCTTTGAAACCCACGCGCAATATCCATTATTGCCATTATTAGAGCCAATTTTTCGTATTGCCCGTATTACCGCTCGCGAAAACACAGAAATCGAGAAAATTCATTTATGATGACTTTTACAATCATGCACAGTATATTTTACTTAATTTTTTTTATAAAATTTTATTATTTAAACCCCCGAAAATAACAATCGAAGCGTTCTCCGTCAACAAATTTGCAACTTAGAAAAACGGAGCTACGATCTAAATGTAGAATAGATATAATCGTAAATTTCGAAGACTGATCGAAAGGAAACGGAACGCAGAATACCAAAGTTGCCAAACAGAAAATTTCGATTCGAGTCGAAACGCAGAATAGGGCTGATATTGCTCCTCCGTTATAGGCTTTGATTATAAATATATTCCGATTCGTGCTGATTGTTTCCGCCTCTATACATTAAAGAAAATGATCACGTGCTTTTAAATTGATGCAATATGTGCATAGCGGCCCGTGAATTTTCACTCCAGGGACGGAATTTTCTCTCGACGGCCCTGTGCCATGGTGTTTAGAGGTGCGTACTATCACTCCTTAGGAAGTTAGCCCGTCGGAAGGGAATGGCGAACCTCAGATTGTATTTCTGCCTTGAAAAAGCCTCTCAGAAAAACCATTTCCCGTCCGGAGGCGGCGTAAAATGGTAGGTTCCTCCAATTGTTTAACGACATCAGGATGCACAGCACAAATTGGAACTCCGCCAAACTCTTAGCAAAAGTGTAAGCGCCCGAAACATTATTATTAGATATTGCTAAAGATTGATGACAGAAAAATTCTGATTTATGGATGCTTTTACAGTAATGTAAATGTTTTGGGTGTAACACTTGAATGTATTGAAAATTTGGTAAAACTTAATTTTATTGTACGTTTTTCAAGCCTTTTTGGATGGATACACCCGATTTCGCCAGCTTCTAGATAATAGAATAGTTCGTTGCCTATTGACCAAGTTTATTTAACACGCATCGTGGACCATCTCTCCCAAAACTTCCTTCAATATGTCTACTCGAAAGAAGCCTTAACGGGCTACAAATTTGTTAGTTCAATGATATGTTCAATTAACACTTTGACCACATATTCCTAGTGTAATTAAGTAATTTCTTTATTTCCTTTAAAAGATATTCGACGTAGGATATTTCAACAAATTTAAAATTTGAATTAGAGCTAAGCTTGTCTTTTTTAAAAATATTAATTGTTAAATAATATTTGTGCATTTTAGATGACTTGAAAGTAAAGAAATTCCTTTAGCATCCACCAAATGGAAATTAGCTTTCACTAAGATTTTATGGTACATACTCGTATTACGTGCCCAGTACCAGATTGTTTAGCAATACTCTGCTATATATCTGTAACAGCCTTACAATATTTTAAATATATTAAAATATATCATAACGTAAACCTTCATGATTAAATTTGCCGAAATTTTAAAATTTCCCGAAGGAGAGCTTGTGGTTACATATAGCCGAAAAACCTAGCTACTAGCTTTAGTAAGCCAACGGGAGTGAACAATTACTACCTTACAAGTACTATCCTGCAAAAATTTGAGGACCAGGTGGTCCACTGAGTCGTAGTTTTAAAGTATGTGCAAGAGGACCAGGTTGCATACTAGTAACTTGTTATACTGACCTGGACCACTTCAAACGTAAAAAACTGATATATGTGTTGAATACCCCTACTTCGTGGCCCATCGGCAATATGATTCGGTTGCCGAGTGTGCCATGTTCCAAAAGGATTAGTTTTCTAGGTGGTTCCAAGTTATGCAGCGGTAGACCAGAAGTGGTCCCATGTTATGCAGCGTTGGACCAGAGGTGATCAGGTCCAATGACTTGGCAATGTTAATGTAACCATATTTTCTTCATAAATTTGGACCATTTTGGTTACTAGTGTTGGTTACAAGGCAGTGTGGTTCTGTACTGGTATTTAACCTAGTCCCACTCTTAGCAGGGTAGTTTCATGTTTGCCAAATTTTCTCAACAAAAACAATGAGAAACTGCAATCGCCATCTGGTACAAGGGTTTCGCATCTGTTGAAAGAGCGTTTCCGTGTTCTGTTTTTAAAAGTGGGGCATATTTCCCAAAAAATTCGATCTAAATCAGTTGCCACCTGGAATATAATGTTTGTTTGTTAAGTAACGAAAAGATATGATGCAAATTAAAGGGAAATAAACAGGCTATGCTCACCCGACTCTGCTCACATGTTTCAATAAATTGTGTTAAATGCCCCCTAGCGCTTTGGAGGAAACAAACAAACCAATGTAGTGGTCTGCCTAACCACCCTGCAAAAATCGTTGGACCATGTGGTCCAATTGTGCCATATTGGAGTACTTGCTCCAATACACCTCTGTAATGTAGTAGCGGACCAACTCGTGCCTCTACACCAGCTTATTGTTACGCGACCATTGTTTTAATTGTTTGTTGTAATTACTACATGCTGTTCGTTAGGCTGTGTTGCTAAGAGGTACTCCACGAAGTAATATAGTCCTGCGTAGGGACACGAATTTCGATACGATACTATACCATATCGATACTTTTGCCATTCGATACCGATACTTTTTACTCGATATTTTTAAGACGATACTTTTTAGAATCGAGTACCAGAACCCTTGTAGTAATAATATATTGTACATTATATGTACTCAAAATAATTGTCTTTTATTAATTTTGTTGTGATGTGGCATTTTTATGTCAAAATGTTAAAAACTAAAATGAAAAGTGTAATAAAATAAATAAATAAGTTAGATACATACATATATGATTTTTATTATATTTTCTCGGTAGACCTTCTGCTAAAATCGCCTATATGTCTACACTTTATTAGATAGCAAGCTTAATTTCAGATTTACTTTTTGAAAAAACGTAGATAATAAGAATAGGGACAACACGTTATAATAGTAGCGAGTGTGAGTTACAGGGGCGTGCCTTCTCTGTTAATCCAATCAAAAAACCGATTTGGGTAAAAGAGAAGGCACGCTCTTGTTACTCACACTCGCTACAATTATAACGTTCTTTGAAGGTACTAATGTGTACCCGATATATTTACATCGATACTTTAAATGAGTACCATATCGATACATTCGGTTCGATATCGTACCCCTAGTCCTGCCCTAGGATATCGCAATGTTAATTGGACCGCATTATTATATGCATTCGGTTAAGTTTAGAGTACTCCTTGGATCTTAAGGAATACTCTAACATGCGAGCACTGAGTAGTCGCGATTTTTGCAGAGTATATTTTAAATTTGCGTAATATTCTGTTTGTTGTACCGGTATTCGTAGCTTTACCATCTCATCAAATACTAAAAAAACTAGTAAGAGATTAATTCTCCCCCACAAAAAACTCGCATATTGGTTTATTTTTAGTTTTACCGCCTTCTTTGTAAATTTGTAGGTAAAGTTCTTGAGTGATTCCTATGTCAGGTTCCTTAACCATTTTATCATGATGTTTTCCACTAAAGTTTTGCCATGTTATTAATGAGTCATATTTTCTGCCATCAATGCCAAATATTTGAGCCCATGCACTGTTTTTGTCGAACATAATGTCCACACTTCTTTTTTTTTATTTTTAAAGCATCGTATTTTTTCGAATAAGGACCTTGCTTCAAAGGTGTATTTGGCATGGAAATTACATCAACATTCATAATCAATGAATCCCGATAGAATGTCGAAACTGGGCTGAAAGGTGGCAGTGTTGATTTCGCAATTTCCTTATCCACTATACATTCAGGAGTTGTGTGCTTTCTTTAAATGTATCAGGATTCAAAGCAGGAATAAAATAAGATTTTCCTGGAATTTATGCCATGAATTAACTCTATAGACGTCATGCCTAATCTGCGTCTGAAATAACTTTAACGGGCCCATTGAAGTTATGTCGGTTACCTTCCTTATCATGAAGTTTACAGAAAGGTGAAACGATATTTAATAGGTGCGCCGGGTATATAAAGTTCGGTTTCGTCCGAACCTATACTTCTTTTCTTGTTTTTAGCAAAATTGTATCCGTATCATTTTGTTTCAATACTCTTCACACATCCAACTGTATGTAAAATAATACCAATTTAAGTAATAAGAAGTGTAACAAAAGATTTGTTCAATGTTCAAAAACCTTCACTTCAACATGCCTACGCTTCTGGTATGGCTATAGAAAAATTAAAGAAGTAATATAGAGGTAAATGTATCAACAAGCTGAGAAGAGGAAGAAGTAGCCAAAGCTGACTACTACTTCTGGCAACACCACCAAAAGCTTGCCATCGGTGATGTGGACGAAACACTGTGACAGTATCATTTAAATGGAGGACTCAATGTTTTTAATGTGAAACATTTTCATAAAATTTCTTTTTTGTTTTCCTAACCACTTTGCTTTTTATGTTTGCCACAGCAGTCTGTCAGCTGATAGTTGCACTGCTGTTACTAACTGATTAGAATCTTTGATGAATTTATTACTATATATAAAAAAGCGCATGCGCAGGAAATAATTTGTTATTTGCAATTTTTTTTTTTTAAATAAATATATTTTGTTTGCTTTCGATGCTATAAAATGTATTTATTCAATTTTCAATTCGATGCTTACCTTCTCTGTCCCCTACTCTTTTCTTATGTTTGTATGTATTTTATTTTATTATTATCAACTTTTGGTGTTTGTGAAATTAACTGTTTGTGTGTTTCCTTTTGTATCAAAGCACATCATCTCTATCTAATTACAAAATACACAATATAATAGTTTAGAAATATTTGCCCACAAATTTTTTACTATATTTGACGCACGAAAACCTGAACCAAATATTGATGTAAACAGAAAAAATTGTTGCACGAAAAAAGTGCTTTATTTTATTTATAACCTATAGCACACACGCAAGACTTAACGAAAAAACCTACAATTAACAGATATTGCAAACCACTTTTACATTGCGCCGAAGCGAACCCAGAGCTGCCATCTGTACAAAGTTGAATTGCATACATTTGGGTCGTTCACATATAAAATTACATTTTTCGCCGCATGACCATACTACATACATTTCTGGTAGTTCCACCACTTTTTGTGCTAAATTTCATTTCTACCACATTTTACAATTGTTGCTTTTTCGGAATTTGGTTCATCCTCCTATCCTCAATTTTCGGTTTATTTTATTTTAATTGCACAATTTTTAATTCTCCTTAATTCGTGTTAGTACATACATATGTACTTATTGCACACCGTCTTCAAAAGAGTCACAACTAAAAATTTGGCATTTTTGAAACTATGCGCTAAAAATTTACACAGAGCTTTTATTTACCTTTCAGCAAAAGCTGGAGCAAATTTTGGTATAATTTGTTTAAAAACCCAAAGGTAAAGTCGCACCTACCCATATGATTAGCATGTGCTACGAAATAGTTTTTCGCATTTTCTGACGAACGTATTATTTTGAGTTGTGACTCTTTTGAAGACGGTGTGCGATATGTATGTATATTCGTTTCAAAACATTGCTATGCGTTAGAGTGGGTGTAAACTGTATACCTATGCTTTGGCTACAAAATCACAATCTCTAGCTGGGAAATGGAAATGCTCTGTGTAAATCCTTTTTCATATGGAAATTTTTACAAGTACACGTTAGCGTTTCCTGAGAAGTGTCAACCAAGAACGAAAAATGTAACTAAAAATTTCGGTTGGTAATCGTTTCATGGACGGTGTTGCTCAGTTTCTTCCATATAAAAACGAATTCGAGCATAATACATACATAGATAATTTTATGGGCAATTCTCAATTAGTTCGAACTTTCGCATGACTCGCTAGTTTTTATTCGGACACATAATTTTCGCTGGTTTACTAACAAAAATCAGGCTATGTAAATGCAAAAAAATGATCACCGTACATAAAATTGGGACATTTTCCTAAATAAAAGTGTGACGATCGTATTATTTTTTATTATTACGTTGCAAAAATTGATGCGTTGCTTGCTTATGTTTGAGTTCATAATTAACTGGTAGTATTTGGAGAAGACAATAGTTAGAAGTATGTGCTTGCAATAGAAAAGAAGTTATGAATAGTCAAAGTGGCGTGACTCCATTTTTTAAATTCTGACACTCGCGGTTTTTATGATATCCTGTAGTTGGTAAGCCTCAAGCTTACGCCGATAGATATTGCGGCGGCGGCGTCGTCAATCTTAGAAATAGTCGGCGTCTCAAATAGCGCCGGCGCATCTGACCATTAGCCACATACCAAAGAACATAGGAAACCAATTCTTGTTTTCAATTTCGCAAAATACTGCTAAAAAGGTCGCCTAATAAATATTTGGAATCGGTGCATGTGCATGTTTATTAAACCATACACCATTTTCAATATTCTCGTTTCAGTTCGCAAATATTGTTTACTTTTTTAATAACAAAATAAACAACTTATCGTTGTGAAAGGTTAGTGAATTTGGAATAATTTAGTTATATATTTTACTAGACTCAGAAAAAGGTTTAGTTATAATTACCAAGATTTGGTTATAGTGACCAAGTGGCATAGTTGGATATGGCGAAATAAATATCTAGTTCACGAAAGTCTGCAATTTACTTGAGACTTCTAGTTGGGACAAATGTATTTTTGTTAATAATTACGAAACGACTACCTTGAGTGGACAATATTGTTAGTTGAATAAAATCATTGTTGAGCAAATATAAACAATGCTTTGGTTGATACAAGTTTTCAATTAATTTTGTGAACTTGCTGTAGACTTGAATCAGCTAATAGTTTATTATTGGAAAAAAAAGTTTCAGTTTGACACAAATAAAAATTTACTCGAAGGTTGTTGTGTTTACTTTCTTCTTTTATGATGTATTGTGGAACGATTTTCCGTCATCCCTTGTCAAATTTGGTTTGGAGACAAACCGGTTTCGGCGTTGTGCCATCTTCAGTGTCATTTTTCGTTCGTTCGTTTAAGTAGACCGATTTGCTTTTTCCTTGGCTAAATAGATACTTTCAAATAATAATTCACATGACTTATATATATACAGTGAGAAACCCCGGTTGGCATCAAACTTTATATTTCTAAATAACTATGCATTGTGTACAAATACAAGTGAGATATCTTAGCAATAGACGTCATCCTGGGCCACAGCTGCGATCATCTGTTTTTTAGAGTTGCTTATTTTGGTCTAAACTGCTCTTTTTTGACCTGAGTTGCATTAAATAGTCTCTTAAAACTTGGTAGTATTTGTTGTTCAAATGGTAACATATATGCCCAAAAACTTGAAAAATATTAAATGATTGCTTTTTAAAAATGCTATTTACAAAATTTCGTTTTGATTGCGACATTCGAAATATTCAGATTATCAAAGTTTTTCACATATGTTTTAAGATTTTAAAGCTTTTTAAAAGTACGGTAGAATGCAACAATGTGCTTGAATTTGTTTGCATCTTCGTCAGCTTATTCGTTTGCAGACTAGAAAAATGGCGAAAAGCCATCAAAATACTGATTCAAAATACACATCTTTCACTGGACACCGCAAATGGGTGCGCGCAGCAAAATTCAGCCCTAATGGTAAGTTAATTTCAGCGTGCGGCGATGACAAGTTAAGAATTTGCGATACATTTTCGGGCGAATGTGTGCGAACGTTCACCGGGGGAAGAGGTATGGGACGACAGCTGGCATGGCATCCAGACGGTAATCTGGTGGCTTTAGCATTAGCATTAAGTTGTAACCGCTTTAAGATATTTGACATTGCTGCAGGCGAGCTAATACAGTGCATTCGTCGCCGGAGAATGATGTTGCATTTCACTCAAGTGGAAATTTCTTGGTGACTGGCGGCGATGACGATACAATAAGATTGCTTGATTTATTAGAAGGTCGACCAATTTATACACGGTAGTAGTGCACTTTAGCGGAACCATATAATATAAATTTTTTCCTGTATTCAACAGTTGCTCGTTTGGAAATCTAATTTGCATACATTTGATGCCAATAGCTCTCGCAACAAACAAGCCAGTTCTCAAAGAGTCCAAATTGAGTTTAGTCATGCAACAGCTCCACATAACTCCGCCATAGACACACCAGTTGCTGCAGTACCAAAAAGCTGTGATGACAGTATTTTAATTGATCCACGACAATCGGTGGCATATGAAATGCGTGATAGAAATTTTCTGGTGCTTGATAGCCAATATACTACAAGAGTGCAACACTACAAGTGAAATGCTGTGATAGTAATTTTTCTTAAATTTCCATCTTTTATTTGCATTTACATTAAGAAGCTTATCACGCATTTCATATGCCACCGATTGTCGTGGATCAATTAAAATACTGTCATCACAGCTTTTTGGTACTGCAGCAACTGGTGTGTCTATGGCGGAGTTATGTGGAGCTGTTGCATGACTAAAATCAATTTGGACTCTTTGAGAACTGGCTTGTTTGTTGCGAGAGCTATTGGCATCAAATGTATGCAAATTAGATTTCCAAACGAGCAACTGTTCAATACAGGAAAAAATTTATATTATATGGTTCCGCTAAAGTGCACTACTACCGTGTATAAATTGGTCGACCTTCGAATAAATCAAGCAATCTTATTGTATCGTCATCGCCGCCAGTCACCAAGAAATTTCCACTTGAGTGAAATGCAACATCATTCTCCGGCGACGAATGCACTGTATTAGCTCGCCTGCAGCAATGTCAAATATCTTAAAGCGGTTACAACTTAATGCTAATGCTAAAGCCACCAGATTACCGTCTGGATGCCATGCCAGCTGTCGTCCCATACCTCTTCCCACGGTGAACGTTCGCACACATTCGCCCGAAAATGTATCGCAAATTCTTAACTTGTCATCGCCGCACGCTGAAATTAACTTACCATTAGGGCTGAATTTTGCTGCGCGCACCCATTTGCGGTGTCCAGTGAAAGATGTGTATTTTGAATCAGTATTTTGATGGCTGTTCGCCATTTTTCTAGTCTGCAAACGAATAAGCTGACGAAGATGCAAACAAATTCAAGCGACATTGTTGCATTCTACCGTACTTTTAAAAAGCTTTAAAATCTTAAAACATATGTGAAAAACTTTGATAATCTGATATTCGAATGTCGAATCAACGATGTAATTTTAAGCATATAAATTTCATTTGCATATACGGTCTGAAGTACTATGTCGAAAGGCGGTTTATAATCGGCTCTTATTAAGAGGAATTATAGACTAAGAATTGACTTGTATATCGGAAATGCATTATTTCTAAAAGGAGGTTCCAAATCATATCTTTCAAGGTTTTACTATGCTTCGAAGCTACTTCATCGAACGATATGTTACCATTTGAACAACAAATACTACCATGTTTTAAGAGACTATTTAATGCAACTCAGGTCAAAAAAGAGCAGTTTAGACCAAAATAAGCAACTCTAAAAAACAGATGATCGCAGCTGTGGCCCAGGATGACGTCTGTTGCTAAGATATCTCACTTGTATTTGTACACAATGCATAGTTATTTAGAAATATAAAGTTTGATGCCAACCGGGGTTTCTCACTGTATATATATAAGTCATGTGAATTATTATTTGAAAGTATCTATTTAGCCAAGGAAAAAGCAAATCGGTCTACTTAAACGAACGAACGAAAAATGACACTGAAGATGGCACAACGCCGAAACCGGTTTGTCTCCAAACCAAATTTGACAAGGGATGACGGAAAATCGTTCCACAATACATCATAAAAGAAGAAAGTAAACACAACAACCTTCGAGTAAATTTTTATTTGTGTCAAACTGAAACTTTTTTTTCCAATAATAAACTATTAGCTGATTCAAGTCTACAGCAAGTTCACAAAATTAATTGAAAACTTGTATCAACCAAAGCATTGTTTATATTTGCTCAACAATGATTTTATTCAACTAACAATATTGTCCACTCAAGGTAGTCGTTTCGTAATTATTAACAAAAATACATTTGTCCCAACTAGAAGTCTCAAGTAAATTGCAGACTTTCGTGAACTAGATATTTATTTCGCCATATCCAACTATGCCACTTGGTCACTATAACCAAATCTTGGTAATTATAACTAAACCTTTTTCTGAGTCTAGTAAAATATATAACTAAATTATTCCAAATTCACTAACCTTTCACAACGATAAGTTGTTTATTTTGTTATTAAAAAAGTAAACAATATTTGCGAACTGAAACGAGAATATTGAAAATGGTGTATGGTTTAATAAACATGCACATGCACCGATTCCAAATATTTATTAGGCGACCTTTTTAGCAGTATTTTGCGAAATTGAAAACAAGAATTGGTTTCCTATGTTCTTTGGTATGTGGCTAATGGTCAGATGCGCCGGCGCTATTTGAGACGCCGACTATTTCTAAGATTGACGACGCCGCCGCCGCAATATCTATCGGCGTAAGCTTGAGGCTTACCAACTACAGGATATCATAAAAACCGCGAGTGTCAGAATTTAAAAAATGGAGTCACGCCACTTTGACTATTCATAACTTCTTTTCTATTGCAAGCACATACTTCTAACTATTGTCTTCTCCAAATACTACCAGTTAATTATGAACTCAAACATAAGCAAGCAACGCATCAATTTTTGCAACGTAATAATAAAAAATAATACGATCGTCACACTTTTATTTAGGAAAATGTCCCAATTTTATGTACGGTGATCATTTTTTTGCATTTACATAGCCTGATTTTTGTTAGTAAACCAGCGAAAATTATGTGTCCGAATAAAAACTAGCGAGTCATGCGAAAGTTCGAACTAATTGAGAATTGCCCATAAAATTATCTATGTATGTATTATGCTCGAATTCGTTTTTATATGGAAGAAACTGAGCAACACCGTCCATGAAACGATTACCAACCGAAATTTTTAGTTACATTTTTCGTTCTTGGTTGACACTTCTCAGGAAACGCTAACGTGTACTTGTAAAAATTTCCATATGAAAAAGGATTTACACAGAGCATTTCCATTTCCCAGCTAGAGATTGTGATTTTGTAGCCAAAGCATAGGTATACAGTTTACACCCACTCTAACGCATAGCAATGTTTTGAAACGAATATACATACATATCGCACACCGTCTTCAAAAGAGTCACAACTCAAAATAATACGTTCGTCAGAAAATGCGAAAAACTATTTCGTAGCACATGCTAATCATATGGGTAGGTGCGACTTTACCTTTGGGTTTTTAAACAAATTATACCAAAATTTGCTCCAGCTTTTGCTGAAAGGTAAATAAAAGCTCTGTGTAAATTTTTAGCGCATAGTTTCAAAAATGCCAAATTTTTAGTTGTGACTCTTTTGAAGACGGTGTGCAATAAGTACATATGTATGTACTAACACGAATTAAGGAGAATTAAAAATTGTGCAATTAAAATAAAATAAACCGAAAATTGAGGATAGGAGGATGAACCAAATTCCGAAAAAGCAACAATTGTAAAATGTGGTAGAAATGAAATTTAGCACAAAAAGTGGTGGAACTACCAGAAATGTATGTAGTATGGTCATGCGGCGAAAAATGTAATTTTATATGTGAACGACCCAAATGTATGCAATTCAACTTTGTACAGATGGCAGCTCTGGGTTCGCTTCGGCGCAATGTAAAAGTGGTTTGCAATATCTGTTAATTGTAGGTTTTTTCGTTAAGTCTTGCGTGTGTGCTATAGGTTATAAATAAAATAAAGCACTTTTTTCGTGCAACAATTTTTTCTGTTTACATCAATATTTGGTTCAGGTTTTCGTGCGTCAAATATAGTAAAAAATTTGTGGGCAAATATTTCTAAACTATTATATTGTGTATTTTGTAATTAGATAGAGATGATG